TCATTAAAATAGAAAAAAATTAGATATCTGTATACAGAAAAAGTCTGTTCAACCCCTCCAACTTTCATAGTCGTCTTATAATCCATCTATACTAATGTATGATAATCCCCCATTCCCACCTTGATCCTATCGATTTTTCCATTTTTTTCTATATTCAGTTTGTTTATCCTTCCTTTATTAACATCGATTCTTGTTATTAATTTAACTTTTTGAACAGTTTCCGGTATTATCTCACCCGTCACCGTTTATTGATTTGATTCAGTATAATACTTTTTGCAATGTTGTCTTATTACAAGTCTCGCCTTGTTGCGTAATGTTTTAGTCATGTAATTTATAAGATAGTTCATGGAATGAATAAATCGCAAAGGGGGGTGGGTGGTAGATATGGAAATCTTAAGATTAGTAGGTAATTAAAACATTATGCAACAAGGTGGTAATTATGATAAGACAATATTGAAATATTTTGTCAAACATTTTTTAATTATAGATAAGATTTTATTTTGATAATTCACACAGTGTTATACAGTAATATTAACTGATGACTTGATGTGATTATGAACAATAGTTTATGTTCGAAACGTAATCAATTAATATTACTGTATAACACTGTGTGATTTATCAAAATAAAATCTTATCTATAGTGGAGTTATGCTCTATCACAGTGCCCAAGTCTTATATATTAAAAAGAAATTTTTTATTCCTTTACGTTCCCAATGGAACATAGGGCTTCAAGCTAGTGGCTTCAAGTTTCTGTAGCAGTGTTTATTTTAGAGGATGGGGTTGCTAGCCTCATGCCCTACATTCCCTCTTCACCAGTCTTATTACTGGCTTAGTGAGGTAAAGGTGTGCGTTGGCGGCTGGAGATCGATCCCCGGACTACCGGCGTGGTTGGCGGGCACTCTACCGCTGTGCCACCGACGCTATATCAAATATGAGTTAGTCAAATCCAAGATCATCCTTTCCGAAAACTGTATTCGCAAGGATCAATATCCAAAATTATTCTGCTAAGCACTCAGACGAATTCGTTTTTTGTTCGAACACCAAAACTTAATCGTACTGATGCAATCAATTTTCACGTTGTGGAGTTAAACAGGAAGATATCTTTGAGAAGTCGTGTTCTTTATGAACTGTCCAGCTGATGAACACCAACAATAAGAGAAATATATTTCCCAGTTCAAGTCTGACAATCTCAAACTTCTTGACAGCTTCAAGCAGGTGTTGTAGCAGAAAAGAGATTTCAGACTGATCCCCATAACTATGTGTTTAATTTAATTCTTTTGTCATTATTTCGAAAACTCAGTGACAAGCTCCATCACTGGTACCTAAGTTCTGCAACAGTGTATCCAAAGTCAACAGATTCCTATTTAGGTAGAGTTTTAACCTCATACCCACATCACCACAGGAATTTCAACACTTTAAATCAACAATTCTTGATTACTACCACCAAATTACTAACTCAGAAACCAGCTCAAATAATCTATTGACCGAAGAGAACATAAACCAAATTAAAGAATTTTTTTCCTTCACGTTCCCCAGTGGACCATAGGGCTTCAAGCTAGAGGCTTGAAGTTTCTGTGGCAGTGTTTATTTTACAGGATGGGGATGCTAGCCTCATGACCAACCTTTCCTCTCCACCAGCATTATTTCTGGCTTAGAGAGGTAAAGGAGTGCGTCGTCCGGGGATCGAACCCCGTACCATGTGCATGGTCGGCGAGCGTCCTAACCGCTATGCCACCGACTAATAATAATGATAACCTGACAAAAGTGTATGTGTCGCCGTGATGAGCCGTCAAGAATGTATCAATAAGATCCCAGTGATTCTTTCTGACCAGATGAAATTCGCCAAACCTGTCTGGCAGCCTTCATATGCATCTGTCTATCAATTTACATGCTCATGAAGAGCAAAGTGCATAGATCGTAGCCAGAGATACGAGAGCACATTTTAGTATGGTTTTATAACAAGGGAGAAAGGAAGAGTGTGCGAAGTTGTATTCTAGAACACTTGGCCGACTTCTGTCATTCTACCAACCCTGACTATGATTTCAACGATTATCTATCGAATTCATGCTGTGTTTTCTTCGGCCTACACTTCTGAAGACAGTGGAAGCCTTGGTCATTCATGAAATCAAGCCATACCATGTTAAGTATTACACTGGCTATAGAAGGATAAACATTTATTTATTTTTCATTTTGCTTATTTAATCTGCCTAGCTTTTTCTTATTACTACAACCGTTATTATTATTATTATTATTATTGTTATTCTCATCCTGAACAGTTTCCGGTATTAATTCACTTGTCCTATTTATTATTTTAAATCGGTAAGTTTTTGAAATGTTAAACTCTATTTTATCAAACTCCTCCCTATGTTACGTAATGTTTTAATTGATTACTAATCCCACTAATCCCATAATTTTACATCCCTTTCCAAGATGTATACATTCTATGAAATATTCTGTATACGAAATCATTTGTTTTATTAACAAAAATCTAAGTATGATTATAATCAAAAATTTTCAAGAGTTAGTCTGTAGGGATTTGGTTTATTTTCAAATTTGACCACGGATTGATTATATCAATTAGAGAACCATTGAAAACCAGGTGGGAGTACTGGACAGCCGGCTGTTTCGTCCTAGTTTGGGACTCACCTGCAATACGCGCTCACTAAGGTCTGAATACAGGACCTTCCGATTACAAGTCAGACTCGTAGACAAGTATTTTCACTGTATTTCACATTATTACTATTATTTTTTTGGTATTCACACCTTTTTCTAAATTTTTCACAGGATATAGTTTCTTAAAAACCACATAAATATAATAACCTGATGGCTAGCCACATAGAATGGTGTCCACACTGTAATCTTGACTGATAGAATTCAGTCTGCAGTAAACAAAGGACTAGATGCATGACACTAATTAGTGTCCAATCAAAGTATCTAGTACACTCCTACAGGAGATCGATCAAGAGGCCAAAAGAGCTTACTGGTAACGTATCTGACTGCGAAATTTAGTCACCCAGGTTCGGATCTCAGAAAGGACACGAATTCTTCCAAGGTTGAAGATACGCCTTGCCAACTGATGAGTGTCAACAAGCACGAAACCTAAGTTGGACAAGGCTTCCTACTGACTACCTCCAACCATCTGATATATATATATATATGCTTGTGTAGGTTGATATTAAATTCGTTGAAAAGAGTCTCTTCTTAGTGATCCAATGATAACTATTAAATTAATGTTTTAACTACCTATTAATCTGATTATCTATCCCCTTCATCTTTCGTATCACACAACTTTTAATTATGCAAGATTTTGACCTAATGTAATTATTGAATTGTTTGCGTAATCCTATATAACCTTCATTATTCTTATCGCCACCTGCATCAACTATTTGTATGTTTGTTATTACTGTTATTATCATTATTATCGTTATCACTAGTGTCATATTTACAACATTCAACACGTCTGAACCATATATTCATTATCATATGGGAAAGATCTAACAGAAAGCTATATAGTTTCCCCCCCCCAACAGGCTTGTTTAATCACTTAAATTGTGTTGTATTCAACTAAACTCACACAGTGTGTCACTTAATGCATCAGATCTCAACAAATCTAAGTGATTTACCCAGTGGATGAGCAATTGAATGCTTCGACAGAACAGTTCTAATAAGATGCACTTAACAAAAAAAATGTTCTATGTCATCAAAAGATCTCTAGGACAGATGTTCAAACATCTGGAAAATTCTACTACCCCTACTAAGAATAGGATGAGTGTAAAGAAAAATGATCAGACGGAAGTTTCGAAATTGTCTAGCTTTAACTGATATGACAATGAACAATAAATTGTATTGGGAACAGTGTCATCCAGTGTGTTATATTTAATAAACAAATTAATATGGAATTACATACTAACACAGTGTCCAAGTTCTACACGTATATATAGTATACACCTGTGTCTTAGACGCTATTTTACTATCAGTCTTATGATTCATATCATATTTAAAGAATTGTCTGAAAATGAATATTTTACAAAGACATGGATTAAATTTAATTAATTAATTTCGTACTATTAAAATTGCATTTAAAATATTATTCTACAATATGAACTAATAAGGGGGGGTGAAATATTAATAAATGTGGGTATGTATATGAATTTCTACACCAATTAAAATAATATCGAATTTTAATTGGTTAAATGAATTCGATGTACATAATAGGGGTGAGAAAATATTGAAGGCAGATTGGAGACAATAAAAATTAAGCGTTGTGCATTTAACCAATGAGAATTAAGTGATACATTAAATAACCTTTAAATTAGTTAACTCTTTAACTTAAGGTCAATTTATTCATTTATAAAATAGTGGAAGACTAACTCAATTAAATTTCGAACCTGGTAAGTATGAATATCTAATTTGTTAAATGTATTTCATGTTATTTTCTCTTCAAATTTAAAGATGTCTAAATTATTTTAAATCATGTAATGATGAGATTTAAAACTCACTTATGAACTTTTCTAATAGAAGTTTATCGCTCATTTATGTGCAATATTATGGTTCATAATGTCACCTGATATCGGTGTAGTTGTGTTCGTTGAGCAGGATGGTTTCACTGATAAGTTTTAATTACCTTTCTAAACAGCATCTTCAGTAGAGGCCTCAGTGTGAAGTGGATATCTAGAATTCTCGTGGAGAATTAAAGTCTCCCCTGAAGATGTCGTCTAGAAAAACAATGAAAATTTGGCAACTAATTCACTGACCTATTCTAATATTGTCCATATGAAACTACAATTCTTCTCCACTAAGTTTTTACTTGGTTTTTTGAATTATTAACTCCCCCCCCCTTGACTCATTTCACCTGAAAGTATTTTCGACAATACTTGAGGTTCACTTAGTAAAAATGTTTACAACTATTGTACATTGAATCCATTTTATTGTTGTTGAATTTAAATCTGATAGATTACGCTATTTATTTATGATTTTACTTGCTTTGTTTTCAGCTTGAAATGAGTTTTACAATTGAAAAATTATTGAAAACAGACGATGCTTTACCATCGAATAAATTAAATGAATCACTTGAAAATTCAATTGATTTTAATCCGGAAGAAAATGCGGACGATGTAGAAGATTATCAGTGTGATTCTTACCTTCGTCATCATCATTATCCTCAACGAAGACATAGTTCTGGTGAGTCTTTAAAAAAGTATATAGTCAGAGTGTTCTTTTTGTATCATTTTACTGAAAGGAAGTTAGTTGGTTGGAAGTGCTGAGTTGGAGATTCATAACCGTCTCTGCCTACAGCAGTGAGTGATGTGAGTTAGAACGTTTGGAGTGGGGAGGGGTTAGGAGTCATCGTCTCTTTCCAGTTTTAAAAGATACACCTGACTGACGAGTGCTAATAAGTACGAAACGTAAAGGCAGAGCTTCTCTTATTACCATGCACTTCCAGCTGTCTAACATCAATTCAAAATATACTACAATGAATACTTACTAAGCCTGGTTGCTCATGTCTCTCTTTTCCTAGTTTACTGTCAACTAGTGTGTGAACTAGCTGAGGTTTAGGAGCGTATCGTTCGGGAATCGAACCTTGAACCTTGCGATGCAAATGTCTATAAACTACCGAACTTTCAACCTTTCCATAGTTGATATTTAAAACAGACTCTCCTCAGATTAGTTATTTTTTATAGAATCATTTATAAAGTTACTACTGACCCATTTATTTATCTGTCTGACGTGTTTATTTTTACTTAGACTCGATAGAACAACAACGCGATGAAAGACATTCCTTACGCTTATCGGATAATCCTCAAAATGAATTGAATATATCCTCCTATTCATGTCCACCTAGTCTTTATTCCTTACAATCGATACATTCCGATATGAATCAACAATTACTATCATCTTCTAGTCCATTTCAACAAGTATCGCCTCAATCATCGTCTTCTTCATCACCAGTCACCTCTTCATCATCATCAACCTCTCTGTTGTCATCTACCACTGCTACCACTACAACTTTCTTAAGTTCACCTCATTCAAATCCAGCGCATAGCAACAGTATATCACCAAATAATGATGGTGATGATGAGAAATCCAATGTGATTATTGACAGTGATTATCAATCGAATACTATTTCACCAATCAATCAACAAGGACAGTGTGAATATTTAAATTTATTCGAAAATGTACAACATAGTCATCAGAATTATTCGACTATTACCACTACAACTACAACTACAACTACCCCTACCACTACTAAACACTGAATTATAATGATTGTGAGAATTTAAATAAAAAATCAATAAATTATTTAAATTCAAATTCAAATATGAAGTCATCCTTTCAATCTGATCGTCATCATTCACACAATCATCATCATCATCATCACTCCCATCAACAACATTATACTACAAGTCCATCGCGGCCAAGACGATTGAGGACAACTTTTACCACGTATCAATTGCATACATTAGAAACAGCTTTTCTACTTAATCAATATCCAGATGTTGCAGCACGTGATCAATTGGCAAATCAATTAAATTTATCAGATGGTCGTGTACAGGTATGTTCAAAAAAAAGAATTCATTTATGTTTATTGATCAAACCTTTTTGTTGTTGCTGTTGTGACTAAGTTAAGTAATTCAATAATTAAAAGAATACTGACGAGTGAATAGTGCTCATTGAGTCCCTTTTCCCCCTTTTTTTTCTCAATTTAATTGTTTGCGTTTCGAGTATGAACACTTAGGAGTTCAAGCTTGAGCTTTGAAGGTTCAGTAGTAGTGGTGTTTATTTTTTAAGGGGGGGGGGGAACTGCTAACCTCATGACCTACTTCGTTATTTTCCGGGCTTGCTATTATTCAAACAAAGTTCCTGAGGGGATCGGTTTGGAAGTGGAACAGGAATCGCTGAAGCAACAACTCATGCTCTTTGATTTACATTAGTTATATTTGTGTACGGCCACCACCACAGTTTGCTTTGGAAACGGACGCTATAAACGGCAGCTGAGAAGGCAAGGATAAGTGTGTGACGCCAAGCACTACTGATTAATTGAGCTAAGTAGTTAGATACCACTCACATCAACCTATTTTTAAAAAATTACTTTACGTTCCTAGTCGAGTATAGGGCTTCAAGCTAGAGCTTTGAAGTTTCGGTAGTAGTGGTGTTTATTTTTACGGGATGAGGTTGCTAGACTCATGCCCAACCTGCACTCTTTACCAGTCTTATTACTGGCTTAGCGAGGTAAAGGAGTGCGTCGGCTGGAGATCGAACGCCTGCATGGTTGGCGAGCATTCTACCGCTGTGCCACTGACGCACACATCAACTTGTAGTGGTTTGCAAGTCGCTAACCTGATTTAACTTATTACCAGTCCGCCAAAATTAGCTAGCCCAAATTTGGATGGTTTGATGTGCTGATTCGGCTCTCTAAACTGAGTCAAATCGGGTACACTGAAGATGAGCTTGGTCCCAAACAAGCGAAATGGCCATCCGATGAGTTTAGATCGCTTTGATCTGTGTTGCTAGAAAGTACTACTGCTTGATTTGAGTGGTGTTCAGCTAATCAACCCACCCCACCCCACCCCGATCTATCAGTCATTTTATTTGACCTTATTGACATATGAGAATAAATATGCAACAAATTTAGGTCACGTATATTCCTCTGTGTGTGTGTGTGTGTGTGTGAATGACTCAGTAGGATGCTTGTTGATACAGTCAGCCTCAAAAATGCATCTTTCATTCAAATTGTTTAGCCATTTAATGTGATGACTCATTCCACTTGACAACTAGTATGTAAGCATACAATGGTAAAGGAGTTACGTAATAAAGACGAGAGATGCGTCGTAAGATGCTGAGTGACTAATAAATTAGGTAACAATCTACTGAGTTCAACTCAAACCATAGAAACAAGAGATAAGCAAGATTACAAATTATAAAAGGGGGGTGAGGTTAAAGACAAAGATTACGTAATCAAATGAAAAAGAGAATAAAGATACAGTTGCCAGGGTGGGGCAAGGAAAGACTGATAACTGCTTCTTTCTGAACACATAAATCTGGTTTCAAGCATTTGGCAGAAATTGCTTCGGCAAACTTGAGGAGAATCGAGCTTCTTTGTCTATTGATAATTTTAAAGTTACATGTCATGCACCGTCAGTCACAATATTCTATTGCTTAAGTTTAGTAGTCCAATATTAAATCCCAATCCTTACTCTAAAATAATACAAATGAAGGTTATTCTCAAGTAGAATTAATTCTGTAGCAGTGTTTATTTTACAGGATGGGGTTGCTAGCCTCATGCCCAACCTTTCCTCTTCGCCAGCATTATTTCTCTAAGAGTGAGAACAAAGATAGAATATTATTATTATTCGTCCCCTAGATTGCAAGTGGAACATAAGGGGCCTCAGCAGTACATCTTCATTTCACTCTGTTCTCTGTAGTCTTCATAGCTGCCTCCACCATCGACTATTAGCCTTCATTTCCTCTTCACATGATCTCCTCCATGTCACTATCGGATGACCAGTCGAGGGTTTTCCTGTTGTGTGAAGTCATTCACCGGTCTTCTCAGCATGTGTCCAATCTATCTCCACTTCTTTATTATTATTATTATTATTATTGTTTCCTTTAATTCCTAGAGGAACATAGGGCTTCAGCCGTGCGTCTCCATTGCGTTCGGTTCTCTGATAGAGTCTTCACCTGGTTCCAAGTCTGCCCACACGTTTTCATCTCCTCTTCACATGACCTCCTCCAAGTCACCATTGCATGACGACCAACTCACCGCTTCCCTTTCGGGTTCCACTCGAGTAAGGCTTGTCTAGTGATGTCACTTGATGGTTTCCTCAGAGTATGGCCAATCCATCTCCATTTCTTCCTGCCTATTTGTTTCACAATCGGTTCCTGGTTAGTTCGCTCCCAGAGATCTCTGTTGCTGATCTTTTCTGGAACCATCTGATCTTGAGTAGTATTGAGCGAAGACAACTGTTAATGAAGGTCTGTAGTTTGTTTGAGATGCTCTCCATTTCTTTAAGGCATATTTATTGGGCAATGGATTCTTGATTGGTTCACTGCCTTCCAGAGTTCGTTGTGGCTTATCCTTCCCTGACTGGTCATCTGACATTCACCATCGAGCTAGCGAAAGCAGCTGTTGGCGAAAGTCTACCTCAGTACGTTGGAAATGCTCTCCGTAACTCGTATGCCAAATCTGTGAAACATACATTAGCGGTAACTTGGCATTAGTGTTGAAAATTTGGACATGGTTCCATGTGCTGACTGCTGGACACCTAGTCCTGTGAGTGCATTTCGTCTTATTTGTGACTCGTCAGGTGGATGTATCTGAATCTCCAGTGAGTGATTTTGGTGTTCTCACTGTGATTCGAACTGAATAGCTGTCATCTCAAATGTGGAAATACTGTCCACTAGGCTATTAGAACCACATTCAGATGACGAGGAATCTCAAGTAGGGAGGAGTGCGTTTCCTGAACATCACTGTTAGCCAACACCAGCTAAGTAAGAACAAATATTAAGATTCCGAATGAACCAGAATTAAAATCCAGTTACCTATTCAAAGTATATTTCATTAGTGTAATAAGTATGTTTCATACTCTCAGCTTAAATTAGTTACTTCATTCCCATAAAGTGATACTTGGTCTTAAATTATGCAACATTTAGAGAGATAGAGGCAATCAGCGCTAAGCATGACACTAATTACTGACTACCTAGTGTTCTGTGAAAATATCTAATACGGCACCACAGAAGGGCAGTTGTGAGCCCAAATAACTCAGTGGCAACTTCTCTGACTACAACATTGAGCGACATGGAGTCAAATCTTGGATGGAACATGAGTTCCTTCAAGGTTGTAGATACACCTTGCTGACTGCTAAATGCTAACAAGCATGAAACCTAGGTCAGACAAGTAGCCTCCAATCATCTAATAACAACAATTCAGGGTGCACTGTGATAGTGAGCCATCTACCTAACTAGTATGGTGGCTTCATCACAAACTTGACCGACAATAGAATTCAGTCTGCAACAACACCAAGGACTACATGCATGACACTAGGTCTGATTTCAGTAGCAAGGTATCCTGCAGGTGATATAAGATTTTTTATGTATGTAGAAAGGTATAATTAGTTAATCTTAAGCTTATTCTTCAATTTTAACCTATTTAAAGGTGATTACTAGTCAAAATATTCAAATAACAGGATTACTTTCAATTATTACATTTTTGTCACAAATCGACATCAGTTGCAGAGATCACTGAAAACCGGGACAGTACTGGAAAGGTGTTTCGTCCTATTCTTGGAACTCTTCATCAGGATGCACCCACGACCCCACTAGGGATCGAACCTGGGACCTGCAGGTTAGCGCATTTATCCACTTGGTGAGGGCAACACTACATCAGAAGTTGACAAATTTAGAATTCAGAGGTCACTGACTTCCAGTCCAATTGGCTGAATGGTCAACAGACTTGGTCGCATATCCTGAAGATCCTGGGTTCGATATCCGGTGACGTCGTGTGGGTGCGTACTGCTGAAGACTCTCCAAAATGGGGCGAATCATCTCTTCAGTGCTCCATAATTTTCATTGATCTCTCTAACTGAAGTTTGTTTCGTAACGTAAATGTAACAGTTATAACTGAACTGTATACAAATCAGCTTAATTTTCTTTTGATCAGGAGCTTTTTCTTTATTCCTTGCATTCCGAGTGGAATATACGACTTCAAGCTTTGACGTTTCACCAGGGGTCGTTTTGTGGGGGGGGGGGGGTCCTAACCTCACACCCAACCTTCCTTCTTTCCTGGGTTTTACTACCGGTTAATAAACTAGGCAAGGAGTGAGTCGGTTGGGAGTCGAACTCAGACCTGTCTTGTGTGGCTGATGATCACTTTACCACCGAACGACTGACACATATTTGTTGCCTAGTTAAATTATTCACTCATCAATTTGAATCCACACAAGTTGAGATAGATGGATAGATAGACGGATAGATAGACAGGCAGACTCAAAGAGATTTTTAATTTAATTTTTCAAGTGGCTAATTAAATTTGACGTAAAGATTTTATCTTTTTAAGTGTTTAATTTTCATTAGAAGAGGCTATTTCCTCTTATGACCATCTTCATTTGTTAAGTCTTTAATTCCTCCTTGTCTGGATTACATTGAATAATTACATAACCTAGTTACTACAGATTAGTCATAATAATAATAATAATACGCTGAAAACACGCTGTCATTATCCACTTAAGTGTTTTATTTATTTATTTATTGAATCATTTTCAAAAGAAAAAAATGTCAACTCATCATTTTGCTGTTTCCAATTTAATCTGTCATCATTGTCGATTATTCACACCTCCGCCCCCCCCCGCCGCCTCCACCCACGCACACCTACGTTAATTGACCTATTCATCATTAAGTCATTCTATTTAATTCTACACCAATTCTACACCCATCCACCCACGCATACATGCATACATACATGTATACATATGAATATGGCAACAACAACAACAACTTAATTTTCGATACATTAATTTGTAAATTAGTTAATGTATCAATTGAGAGGAGGAAAATGGAAGATTTTTCCTCTCTTCAATTTTTCTTCTTTTGTTTTGTTTTATTAAGGTGATGATTGAAATCTTTAGGCAACTTAGTTACTAAAAACTTACTAATCACAGTTACCTAACACTGTTGGTGTCCTCCCCTTCCCTGTGTGCGTGTGCGTTGTGTGTCTGTCCAGTTGTCTATTTGTAGGATTAATAAATTACTACTAATCAAGATCGTCATTTCCTTTTCAATTAATTGTTTAATTTTGTCTTGTTAAACAACATGAAACGACATATTATTGTGTTGTGAGTGTTGTACGTCTGTCAATAAGGGTGGGATTCATTTTAATGATAATAATTGATTTCCTTCTAAAGAGGGAAGGTAGAAGAAGAGGTTGACGAATTTTGAAAAAAAATATTCTTTGAGTGTTATATGACATAAAGGGTGTACATTGAAGATGGGAACTGAAGTATTACCAGCTAGTACGACATTATATACGTATGCATGTATCTGTCTGTGTGTGTGTATTTGTGTGTAACATGGCGGTTGTAACTATGTCGGCCATTTTTTAGGCAAATACTCAATTAAAACAAAAATTAAACAATTATTCATTCAAATCTCTTTACAAGTACTTCATTAAATATTAACAATAATATAACATCGTTATTAATTAATGACCGATATATAGAGAATCTAAGGTTACATATGTCAATGGCACTAGAAAAGAAATAATTAATTTATATATTGTATCTATGTTGAGTTTTGAATAATTGGTTCATGGTTAAGTAGTACATTATATGATTATATTATTATTATTGTTCCCTTGAGTTCCGAATGGAACATAGGGTTTCAACATCACATCTCCATTTAATTCAGTTTAGATTTTCCCGACCGAAGTGCTCGGTCTCAGGTTGACATGTCGGCTCCTTGTGCAGATGCTTCGAAGAAGTGTGGTCATGTAACTTGAAGTCGATTGGTAGATGGTGACTAGCAGTGGAATCCAGGATGCACATTTCGTCCTATTTTGGACTCGTCCCTGGATGAACCTGCATTCCCCAGTGAGTGATGATGTTCCCACCGAAGCTCGAACACAGTGCCCATAGTTTCAAACGCCAAGGCGTTATCCACTAGACCACTTGGGCCACGACAGCCACCTAAGGTACGTCCAGATGACGAGTCCCAAATAGGACGAAATGCGCATCCTGGATTCCACTGCTAGTCACCATCCACCAATCAAATTCTAATTAAATGCCCAGACATCGTCGAAGCATCTGCACAAGAAGCCGACATGTCAACTTGAGACCGAGCACTTCAGTCCAATCAATCGACGGGAAAATCTAAAATTCAATTAAACTACTTTTGGTTAATTTGAATACTAATTATTGTTTTTCCTCTATGCTTACAATTTCTTCTAGGTTTGGTTTCAAAATCGACGAGCTAAATACCGTAAACATGAAAAATCACGTACCAATAATCATGACACTAGTAGAAATCATAATGGCAGCGAAATCAATCATGAGACATTTAATATGTTACCTGATACTCAAACACTGTGGAATACGCTGAATGCGTATACATCAACACTACATCATTTATTACCTAATCATTCAAATCCATTATTGTATTCCACGGATAATTCAACGTCTACGCCTATAACAACATCAATTACTACTTCAAATATTTCACAAGATAATCAATTACAATCACAATCACCCTCATCATCTTCATCATTATTTCTGCCGAACGATGACATGGATTCAAAAATAAAATCAATGCAAACAGCAATTGACGCATTGAATACAACGCTGAAATTGAATCCCGCACTTGATTATACCACACTAATTAATTCAAAAGATTTAGCGAATATCCTAATGGGATTTAATGGAAATCAAACAACCTATCTACAATGAAAAAAAAATATCATAATTTTCAAAGATATACACATATATTTCTTTATAATCCTTCGATTTCTTTTTGAAGTAAAGACATTTCGCGCCAGTGTAAATAGATAATTTGTATTTGAATTAAACAAAGATGTGAAACTATTGTACATTGAAAATAGTTATTATGATTAGTAGCAGTGTTGCATTTACAGTGATTGGTATTTGGTATTGTTCATTTATTCCATGTAAATATGAGCTCATAAATAATACTTAGTTTGGTTTTTTCTATTTTTTTAAAAGTACCTTGAAAGTTGTAACTACTTTATTTAGATTATGAGATTTTGGGGGAATTTGGATTAATTTCAATTTCGATTGTCAGATTTTCGTCATTGAAACAACATCATTTAGAGAGATCATTGAAATCTAGGGAGTACTGGGTAGATGATTCGTCCTGTTCTGGAACTATTCAGTAGTGTACTCCCACGACGCCACCAGAGATTGAACCTGGGACCTTTAGGTTATTAGACCGAGCTTGTCGACCATTCAGCCACTTAGGTCGGAATTCTGACCTTTTCAACTCGTGGTGTGAAGTAACCTTCACCAGTGCCTTCGACCAGTATTGACTTCACCTTGACAATGTGGGCCCCACTGGCTACGACTTCTTAGTACAGATTCAGGGCATCTATCCAGTGGCCATTTATGAGTTGGAGATTGCTATTAAGATAATAGAAATTATAGGTATTTGGAGCAATTTAATTTGAAATGTTAGAGTTCGTCAAAAACCAGCATTAGTGTAACGACCAAAAGGACTGATTGTGGTCTGAACATAAGAAACCGATCTTTGAATCCTACTATATAAGCTGTCCAAAACTTTCTTGAGAGATACAGAATCACAAAACGCTCCAAAATCAGCAAAAAGCGGATTGCTTATCGATAAATCTGTGTGTTTCTATAGAACAATAATAACATTAAAAACTTTAAATCACTTCAAAGGTGTCGTTAGACAGCTATACAATAGTCATGAGAACGTTCTAATACAAAACAAGTACTGCGAAACAAAATTATTATTATTATCCCATTGGGTTCCAGGTGGAATATAGGGTTTCAACAACACATCTCCATTTTGTCCTATTCTCTGAGTTCCCCTTCATCTGGGTCCACGATTGACCATAATCTCTCATCTCCTCCTCGCCACACAACCTCCCTTATGTCACACTTCCACCGACGACCCACTCCTTGCTTCCCATTCGGGTTCCATTCGAATGATGGCCTGCATTGCGTGCAATGTCATTCGACGGCCTCCTCAACGTATGCCCAATCCATCTCCATTTTCTCCTGCATATTTGTTCAGCGATCGGCTCTCGCCTGTTGGTTTGTTCCCAGCCTGAGTTTCTTGTCGCTAATTCTTTCTGGCCAGCCGGCCATTTGATCTTCCTTGTGGAACCAGCAAAGGAGGCAGCTACCGATAAAAGTCTGCAGCTGGCTGTTGGAAATCCTTGACACGTAGTGCAAGTTTCTGACCCGTATAGAAAAACTGACTGCCTGACTTCACATTGGTATTGAAAGTCTGCATTTAGTTATTTATGCCGGTTGACTGAGTGCAGAAAATTTTCAAACTGGTTTCAGGTTTATGAAAGCGTATCTTGCCTTTCCGATCACCACTGACTGGTCTTGACGCCTTCATCCGTTCCGACTATCTATGGTTGAAATCATGCTTCCTGGCCAGATAACTGAAGGAAGTAACCTCAGCGAAATTAGTTAACCGAAATTCAACCATAAGAAGTACCCTGAAATCAAACAGAATATTCCCAACAAGGTGAGATCAAAACTCTGTCCATATAAGAATCAAACACCAACGCTTCCTGCAAATAGTACAAGGCCGCAATCGCCTTCATCATTCACTCGAACAAAATCACATCCTAAAATAACACATTACCAGTATCATCACACAACAGCCACAAGGAGAAGCACTAAAATGAGAGACTGAACAGGGTCAAAGAAAAATAATAAGGATAAAGTCAAAATATGATGTGCAAACTTCGGAACAATTATACGCAGTCTAGGAGAAAAAACGGATAACAATTACAATGTTAGTTGAAACACTCAGATAAGTATAAATGTTGTGATTAGATCGCTGAGGAGGGATTTTCCAAACAATTATTCCGTTACAATCAGTTAGAGATCAGTGAACATCAGGAAGCTCTGAACAGCTGTTTCATACTATAACCCCATTTGGTTTTCAGGAACGGATTGTTTTAATGTTGTAAATCTAGCACGGCTATATTAACGTTGATAAATTCATTTTTAAAGAGTCTTGTAATTGGAAACATTTAGCTCGGTCAATAAATTTATACTCAGTTACTAAAAGAAGGGATTTATCTGAGAAATGTGTTGGATTTACGTAATACATCTTCAAAAACTTTGACCACTAGATATGATTAGTGAAATGTTTAAGTAATATGGCATACGAAGTAAATAGTATCAAACGGAATCCAAGAACTTGAACTTAGAAGAAAAGTGCCGCTCGAAGAAACAATTCTGGGAGTGCAGCTATGTCTGACTTCCACAGTATTTAAATTCCAAGAGGAAATATGTACACAGAGGGAGTTGCCACGGGGTCACCAATATTCCCGATTTTAGCAGATATATACATGGATAGGTGGGAAAACTTAGCGATTGAAACTTTCAGCCCCACCCTAAAAGTATGGCGGAGGCATGTAGATGACACATTCACCTTACTTAGAAGACAGGACATAAATAGACTTTTGGAACGCATCAACTCGAAGGTAGAGGCAATTCAATTCACTTATGAAATGGAAAGTCAGGAAGAGGAGCTTCCAATGTTAGATTGTTGCGTAAAAGGGAAAGAAGGTGGGAAGTTAAACACTAGTGTTTACAGGAAACCCACACATTCAATCCGATATTTGGATTTCCAATCATCCCTCTCTATAACTCCATTATGGATAAGATTTTATTTTGATAAAGCACCCAGTGTTGTACAGTAATATTTACTGATGACGTTTCGAGAACAAATTATTACTCATAATAATATCAAGTCATCACAAACTTTCTTGCTCGAAACGTCATCAGTAAATATTACTGTACAACACTGTGTGAATTATCAAAATAAAATCTTATCTATAATGGAGTTATACTCTACCACAGTGCCCAAGTTTTATACTTACATCCCACCCTATGTCAGTAAAAATAGGATTGGTGAAATGTTTGAGTAATAGGGCATAAAAACTAAGTAGTACCAAGGAAAATCTAAGACAGGAAGTGAGGCATATAGAGGCTTTCAAACTTAATAATTACCCTGATAAATTAATCAGGAAGTATGTAGGAAAATGCAAAAATAAAATTAATAACAATAGTGGTGATAATTATAATAATAACGACATGCATGTCAAACATGCACAGAATAATGACAACACCAACAATAGGGAATATAAATCATCAGTAGTACTTCCATACAAAGAAGGAACCTCAGAAACCTTACGGAGAATTCTTAACAAGGCAGGAATAAAAGTGGCTGGCATTCAAACCCACAAACTCAATATGAAATAAGCTTTGTCGGTTAAAGGATTCTGTGGAGCCAGTTAAACAAAACGATTTAGTTTATCTAATACCCTGCTGTAATAATTGTCTGGTCAAATACATAGGTCAGAGTAGTAGAACGGGGTCAGTCAGACTAGCGGGGCACAAAAACCTAGCAAAATCTAAATTAGTTGACCTTAATAAGATAAGAAATCCAGAGAATAGTTCAGCTATAGACCACTCACCACATGCAAATACACACAACCGTAGAATAGGATGGGATAAGATGACAGTTTTAAAATCTAACGTAACATGGTGGAGGGAGAGATTGATAAAGGAAGCTTTATTTATCGAATCAAGTGAGAATACGTGCTGCAATAGGAATGATTCAGCACCTGTCCCAGACATCTGGAAAATTCTACTACCTCTGCGACAAACGGGAGGGCAGAAAGAGGGCTATGAAAATCACGAAATAAATGATGGTACCACCTTATTTTGCAGAAAAACCATTGCTTTTTCTTTATTCAGACTCATTAAGGGGAATAAGTGTATGCAGTTTCGAAGTTGTGTAGTTAAAATCATGATATGATTATGAACAATAATAAATTGTATTCGAAATGTCATCCATTCACTGTGTGTGATATACCCAATAATGAAAACAAAACACGTAGATCAGTGAAGAGTCTCTTTTCGCCGGAGAATTCATTTTCTTAGCTGTACAATCACAAATACATATGTGTTATTTTCTATGTATGTGTACATTAAGTCTGTCAAACAAAAATACACTTGGTTATAGTTATTTTAACTAAACAGGCGAAGATTGCTTGCTAATTGGAGTTACATAATACAAAATCAGTCAAGAAAATTAGGCGTTAGTGAAATTAGGGTAGTAACAAAGGTGATGAGTTGTCACAAACAGTTGTTAAAAGAAGTTATGTAATAATATGAATAGTTTGATGAGTGTGTTTTACTCAGGATGCACATAGGAACAAAGTAGATAATACAAAGCGGCACCGAGAAGAATTAAAACAGTTGAAAGATAACAAAGATCTGCTAATAACTCGCCCCAACAAGAGTGCCGGTGTAGTGCTTCTGAATAGAAAAGACTACATCGAGAAAATGAATGATATACTGTCGAATGAAGATAAATTTTCCCAACCTTCCAATGAAAGAAACAAAACGGAACAGATTGAGAAGCAGCTCACAGACGTCTTGAAGAGAATGAAGGCCAGTCAACTAATCAGTGAGGATATCTATGACCGGATCCGGCCAACAGGTTCAATAATACCAAGACTTCACTGTCTACCAAAGGTACACAAGGTTGGTCTCCCACTTCGTCCAATTCTGGATATGTCAGGTTCCCCTTACCACTCTATTGCAAAATGGCTAGCAGATATTCTGGAACCTGTAAGGAAACAATTATATACGCACTCGCCCCGTGACACCTTCCAATTCATCGACTGCATACAAGACATGAATGTATCTAACAA